TTGTAGTTTGTACTTATTTTAGAAGTTATAGCCATAAGTTAATCATTTATCACTTCTATAGCTAGTGCAGATACTTATGTAATTATGTACATCCTACCTTGAAGCCGCGTCCGGAAATTTCAAGCCCGACGTGTCATCGGGTCAGAGGTGATAAAGATTCATTTCACCAGTGCACAACACCAAAACATTATACAATACGCGATCGCGAACGGTGAATTAAAAACGGATGGGTATAGATGGAAAATATTGTCGCATAATACTAGGTATATACAACACCACACTCGAAGACGCAAAAACGGCTTGGTCGAAAATAAGATTCACTAAAGCGCTATTCCACTTCTGCCGTATTCGCCGTTCGCGTAACCTTGAGATACGATACTCCCGGATTGGTCAATTACATAGAGTATAGTAGTATACTCTATGGTCAATTCATTATGTTATCAAACAATTGATACCACGGTAGTTGTTTACTGAACTGATTCTAAACTAAATCGACGTATGGTTACAGCGTTTACCAATATGGCATACCTCGTGTAAAATAAAGGCGGGTTTCTACTTTACACGTACATGTGTACGCGCATAAAAATTCTTTGCTGTGATTAGTGTGATTGGTTGGTTAGGTTAAGTTACCGCACGATTAACCACGATACCGTGTTGTTGGACATAGCTGAACATTTTTTGTGTACACGGCAAACGTGTATAGTGGAAACCCGCCTCAACCCTCATCAATATCAAACATAATTATATACCAAGCCCAGATTACCAAAACTTCGAAAAACGTCGTATACGCGATACGCTGTGATAGCGGAATAGGAATTTAATGCTTCAATTTAAACTTTCAAAACGTGCCTGTCGGTAACCGTAACCGTGGTTGGTCACAAGTCACAACCAGCCGCTTCGACCACAGTATAATATTAGGTATAGACTTATAGTATTATCGTATATTCGCATGACGTATATTAGCGGTGAGAGAGAAACTGTGATATTTTCCGCAAGTTATAAATTCATAACTATTAAGTAGGTAGCTAATATAAGGCTTACGACAACATTCATCGCCGTTAATTTTTCCACATCCGCAATCCTTCTGGCTGCCGTGAGAATAACTTACTACGATTTGTTATCGAATGTTTTCACGTGACCGTTTCAGAGGGGTTATTATGCATATAAATATATTTTTTATAGTGATGTGCAGAACTGTGACTAAATTTTGGTGAAACAAATCTTGAACGAGTCTCCATATCACCTCCAGCCCGAAGAAACTCGCTTCAAGTTTTCCAAGGCTTATTGAAAAGGTAGGATTTTGTTTGTACAACAGTCAATTATATTATTTACAGGTATCTTGTAAGAATAGCTTCATAGCGACAACCATTTCATATGCTACTATATTCTACTTATTTAGAATTTATTATGATTTATGTGTATAAATTGTATTATGTTTGGAAAAACCAAGTAAAACCTCGAAAAAATAATCACTTTACTCTGACAACATTATGTAAATATTAAGTATTAGGTATGTTATTGCGCATGTTAATTTTCTAATGTCTTATGTATTGTTTATTATATAGATCTTATTTATCTATCTATCACATAGGTATAAATGTATAATATTATATCTGCAGTGTTATTGTATTATTGTCGTAAATAACAATGCAATTATTAGTTAAGATATATATTTTTAGGATGCTTTTAGTTGTTTTAGGTTAATTTCGCGAATGAGAAATTGAGTATGATTCTTTGATAACAAGGATTTCTTATAAATATAATAATTAACCAGTAATTTAATATATTTCGCGTTATCCAATCAAAAACTTAATCTTGTGTTTTATATCTTTTTTTTATGTTATTATATTTTCTAACACTCTTATGAATTTACAATGACATTTATTTTTTTTTTTTAAATTAAATTACCTATCTTATAGTATATTATGACCTCCGAAGGTCGGTCTAAAATAAATTATTAAAGCATTTCTTAACTTCACATTGAATGTGCTTCTATGGTTACAATATAATTAGGGTGTAGATCTTTATCAGCTACAGAAATATTTTACAACAATATTATGTAGGTATAATACTACTGCAGTGAAAATGTTATAGATGCGTTTTATTAAAGTAAATTTAAACGTTTTGAATTTTATTAAGCCACGTTTTAACATTAATACGGATTACGATGTTATAATGTTTTATTTGGAATTTATAGATTTCATATTTGTACCTACAGCAAATAAAATGCATTCCAAAATTATTATAAAACATTAAAAAATAAACTATGAAACTGAATTAGTTAAAAAGTAATTCTATGTTAATATTTTCGACCAACAAATAATACTATGCCTGTAATTAGGTGTTTAATATAATGAAAGTTACTTCCATAAAGTATGGCTTGTAAAAATATAACGTAATGTTGATAAGTAATTAATCGTTTGTTTGTAACGGTTGTGATTTTTATGCAATCATTACTAATTATTTTACACTTTTCAAGTACACTGATAATAGTATTATTCCCATTACATATAATTTAATTTAAACCACTGATAAAAACCATGAAACATCCACCAAACAAAACAAATTACTTCTGAAATGTAATGTGTACATCGTGCTCACACCCAATTCGGAAATTAAATAAACACATTATAATATTAATTATAATAATATAAAACTAACATTTTAAACCACAATGTATTTACTTTTTCAAATAATATTTCATTATGTACGTAAAAACGATAAAAAATAAACTATTTTATTTATATTAACGGAAATCTGAGTAAAATTATTGTTGGGATGCAAGTTATAGAGCCAAAATAAATTATATGGAAACTAAGTGTGTTTAGTTAAAACTAAAAGCATTAACCACTATATTCACTAATAGAGCCCTATACGGGATAAAGACATTTTTTTTTCAAACATTTTAAAATGTTTATAGTTTTGTAAAATTTCTTAAAGGTAACAACAATTATAGCTGTTCATAATCAAACGGTATTTTGTTTTTTCTTTGTAGTATTTATCAACAATTTTATTTTAGTTCTTGGGTCAGATCTTAAAAAGCAACGATTTTGTAAAACACTTTTAAACTTTTTATACATATTGATCCGTATTTTTTTTTACTTACAATCATAATAAAAGATTTTAATTTTTAATTTTAGATAAATAAGATACAACATTTATAATACCTTTATAAAATAAATTTGAAGAATAGTTTAAATTAAATATATATATAATGTATATATATATAATATATATTTTATTCAAAGAAAAACTTTGAATCTGTATTTAATGAACATGATAATTAAATGAGAGATAATACAATATGCATATAGGTTGATACATAAGTATGGGTATTAAACTTTGTGAAAATTTAACACAACCTATGTAAAATGAAATGCAGTGAATACTAATATAGTTTATGAATTTTTAAGTTAATGTAGCTTAAATTTAAAGATATTTAACTGTATTTTGTTTATATTAATGTCAGATATTAGAAAAACATTTTACTAAATCAATATTTTGGGAACTTTTTATAATTAAACTATTGTTTATTATTTATCTAATATAACATAGAAAACAATTATGTTATGGTAGGTAAACTGTGTACCTACGTGACTACGTTCTTATAAAACTGCACGTATATTTATGTTTTCGAATAGATTACCTAGTACCTACTATTGGCTAAGTATTTTTAACTCGTTTTATTTAAACTGCTTAAATAGAAATTATTAAAATTGTTTTTATTTAATCGACACTTACTTGGACGCTAACTGAAGAGCATTGCATCCATCCACGTCTTTTTCGGAAGCCTTACATCCCGAGTACCTGATCAGCCATTCCACACAATCTACGTGCCCATTGATGGACGCTTCGTGCAAAGCCGTGTATCCAACGCACGATTTCTTGTTCAAGTTTCTTATACCGTGGATTTTCAGAAACCTACAAACGAAAATGTAGATATTATTTATGACACTTCCCGATAAATACATTTATAATCGCTATTCGGTGCACGTGTGAAGTAAACGCACTTCGTATTATAAATAAGAATAAAAAAAAAAATAATGAAATAGCAAATCCAAAAATAATATTGTAAATTATTATAAATATCCGTTTGTCGTATCACCTCAACACGGACAACTGTCCGGTTCTTGCGGCATAATGCGATCCCATTGCACCACGTGAGTCCTCAGCCTGCAGACGGTCAGAGTCAGAGCCGGCTATGAAACCTAAGAAATTGAAGTCTCCCACCCGGCAGGCACGCAAAACTTCCGCTTCCAGCTGTCTGGTACTGATCAACAGCACTTGTCGGTCGTTGTACATGTACGATGCGTCGGACATGACTGCGACCACCGTTGTGAGCAAATTCGACAGGAAAGAATGAAAACGGACGGGGAAAATAAACGGAAAAAAATCCTCTCGGCCGTGCCAAGACGATCTCCATACATATACGCACGCCGCTGCAGAGATGCGTATCGGCGACGGCGGATAACGTTTCGTAACGATTTCGTAACTTGCCGCGGCCAACGAGCGCGAGCAACTTTTACGCTCTGCGGGATTCAACCGTAGTCGATCGTTGATTTCGATAAAACGCGCGCGAGTTAAGCTTTTTCACTTGTGGAAAAATGTAGCGGTTTGTTATAAATGATACAAAAATTGGTCTGCGATAACACGACGTGAGCGAGTTACCAGCCCGTGACTCCGTATACAAATAATTTATCATAATAATAATTAATAATTAATTATAGAACTATAGAAAAAGCGTCTCATAAAACCCCCATCTTGGACCAATACACAACATGACTTTAAGAGGACACAATTTTTCTCTAAAATCTAAAAAGTTATTTTTATTCGTCGAGAAGCACCAACTTCATACAACTTGAAAATCAATTTGTTGCAATACACGCAGTTGCATACTTTTTTATTTTTAGAATTTCTTATTTACATATTTTTTCACGTTTTGCAACGGTTTTAGATTATATTTTAATAATTTTTTATGTACGGGTGCATGCATGGTGCAGTTATTTAATTGGTGAAACGCATATTCCGGAATAATAATATATAACAACATTGACTTGCCTGTTATCGTTATGAGCTGAGTGAACCGGAAAAACTAGAGCCGTGGGAGCTGTAGCCGGGGGAGCTGGAGCCGGGGGAGAGGGCTGTGGAACTGAGCAGGGGTTACACGAGTCTTCGCACACGTTTTCCAGACTGAACTCACCGCTAGAAATCCCACTATCGGACATATCGTCATCTGACGACGATGTGTGGTGCTGTCTATGCAGATCTCCTCCTCCTTTGCAACCATCTGAGTCCGAAGAGTTAGGCCGCATCCACCCGAGAAACAGCAACTTCCACAAACACATGATGATGTCCAGGATATTGTACAGGATATTTCTCGAACGTAAGCGACGCACTTCCACGAAAGTATACGATTAGGTTTGACGATGGTATGGATTATTGTAATAAAGCACTAAGGTTAAACGTATTAATATGATCGAGCGAATTCGTTTTTTGGGACGATGTACACTGGACGTACCGAGCAGACCGGCGGGACGGAGACGAATGTGCGCTGCCGTGTATATTACGATAGTATTGCAGTGATTTTCGTGTGTACGACGATTTTCTACGGTGGAAATCTTTCACCGCGGCGACCAAGTGATTTCGGTAGCCTCAATGTTATTATGTCTGTTTTCAATTCTCGGCGGACCGCGACCAATCGTTCTATTTTACCTGACCGTCCGACGATAACATCATACATATTACATATACCTATATGTAATAGGTTTGTTATATTTATATTATACATTTAGGTATGTTATGTTTGTGTGTGCCAGTGCGTGTGTGTGATGTATATAATATACAGTATACACGTCTGACGCAGAATCAGTGCATCGTGTATAATAATGTATATCATAATAATAATATGCTTCTATATATATAAATATATTATTATATATGTGCCGAACTACTGACGAGACGAATAACTTCTGTAGTTCTGTCACCGCGACAATAAAACTCGTGATGACACGTAGTTGAACATCCTTCAAATCTTTCGGATTTTTATTTGTTTGTACATTGTACATCAAGGTTTATGATGTAACATTTAATCTTATATACACTTTATATGTATATAATGTATTTGGGAAAAGCATCGTAAGGCTGACGAATTTCTCTACACGTTAAATAATAAAAGTAGGTATACATTTGATTGCGTGAAGTACCTACCTGTAGTAAATGTATAATAAATAAAAATACAGGATATATATTATACTTTTATAATATTAACTATAATGAGCTATAATTATTAATTAAAAATTACTGTATCAAGTAGATACTATCGTATACATTGGACACCCACTATTGGCATTATATATAGTTTTAAATGTTTAATTTATAAATGAATAAAGAAATAAACTGTATAAATGAGTTTTTCCCATGGTGTACAGTTAACTGTACTGCATTTCGAATGATCGATTGTTTGAATTTATGCTAATACTATTGTTCGGTTGGCCTACCTATATATGACTGATATTGATATTTATGTATATTAAAAGAAGTATGAACCAAATTCGGATCGAATTTATAACAAAAAAGTATCTTTTTATGACCGTTAATAAATCACGATGAGAAAATACAGTTTAAAATTATAAAATATTTGTAAAAATCATGAAACAATTGGGATCAAGGTAACAAGTTTGAAAGAATATTATATATAACATTTTCTGACACTCTGACGTCAAGTTTCTGGAAACAGTGATTGAATACATCTAAATTAGAGCTCTCTTTTTTCCCCTTTATTATAGTTTAGGTACTTTTCCTGGTAAAAAATATTTAGTATAATGCATATAGCATATGGGTGACTGCACGGTACTTGTAATTGTGGCATCAACATTTCATTATATTTCCCATCTTATGATAATATTTTAAATAATTCATTAATATATTCCGATAATCATAAAAGGTGTTACAACGTTAATTCTGGTGGATTTTCACGTATATAAATATTTCTCCCAAGTGAAATAGGGAAATTTAGTATAGTTCTTAATGATTTAATATCTTATAATGCAATTTAATAATTTGATAAAATGTTTTTAAAAAGCATACATTTATTGAAAAGAATACTGTAAAGTGATTATAGAATCATTATAGTAGTATAATAGTGTATGTTCTGGCACAGTCAGTTTTTTTAACATTCAAAAAATCACCTTAAAATTAGCTTATTTCAACTTTTTTACATCAAAATTTGATATTTTTACATCGGATTTTGAGTACTTTTTGTATACAATTTATATATAAATACAATGATATTTCACATATTTTAAATGAAATTACATACATTTTAGAAAAATACAGAATTTAGAAATATTCCAAGAAAATTATTTAAAACAATTTATACATATTTTAAACATTACAAATATTTAGACACAACAGCCAAGCAGCTTCCGCCATATATTTGCTTATCGTTATAGGAAATATAATATATATGACAATTATTCCAATACGTTTTCATAGTAAATATGACGTCAATCAAAAATAATGAGCACACCCATGTCCCTAAAGCAGAATACAGCCAATGAGAGCCGATTGTATGAACACACCTATCACCCCAGAAACTACTAGAGATAATTTAGTAAATAAATTTAATAAATACAGGCCACGCAGTGGAATTTTTGTCATTCGCAATATGTCTATAAACGGCTAACACTGTTAACACAGTTAACACCTGCAAATAAATAGCAAAAAAAAAAGCCACTTGGCTATCATGTATACATAATCACTTTTCTCCAATGAATTAAACATAAAGAATGTAAAAAATATATATAAAAATAAAAAAAACAAAACAAAATAAAGTAGGTTTTTGAGCAGCTGTTTTGAGATGATGTTTTATGATTTAGATGATGGTGGAAACTTGTGTATAAGTACCTGTTTCTATCTAGTTTTCTGTATTAAGCATCAATTCGCTTTTATTTACAGAAAATTCGAGTAGCAATAGGTATTTAATTTGAAGTTTTGAGATGTTGTATTGGATTGAAATGTTGCCGATGTTGTATTGGATTGAAATGTTGCCGATGTTGTATTGGATTGAAATGTTGCCGATGTTGTATCGGATTGAAATGTTGCCGATGTTGTATTGAATTGAAATGGTAATTTTTATAGATATTGAAAAACTAGCTATCAAACTTAAACTCAAAAGCATAATTAGTAGCATTATGTAATTAAAAAATTTTGTATATAAATAAATATAAAAATGAATCGAAATAATAAAATTATCCGTATCTATGAGTTGATAAATAAAGATGAGGTATTATTGCAGTCTTTGAAAGCAGGAGATGTATATTTATGCACAAAATGTGAAACATTCAAGAGTGTTAATGAATTTAGTAAAAACCAAAAATGGTGTAAAAGTTGTATGAAAACCAAAGTTAGCACTGAATTGGTAGCATGTGAATGTGGTCAAGTAATGCATTTAAGAGCCCATAAGAGGCATTTGTTAACTAAATCTCACTCAAAAAGGATGGATAATATGAGTAAAGAGAATACTCCTCAAGAATAATTTTTGTTATTAAAAAATTTACTTATTAAATAAAAACAAAAATTTCTATTTAAAAAAAAAAAAAATAACTTTGTCAATAAACTTTATTAATAAATGGATAATCAGGTTTCAATAAGATTTATAAAAACTGAGAAAAAAAATAAAGACATAGATGTTTCAAAATGGTTTAAGTTTTTTCAAGCACATAATAAATATTTAAATAAAAGTGATAAACAGATAGAACATTTTTTAAGAAACTATACATTTTGCATACAATATGGAAAGAAAATTGCTACTCAGAATTTGGAAGGATTGTATAGTATTTTAATTGGAAAAATAAAGCATTCATCATATAATGACAGTAGATTAGAGATTATTTTTAAATTAACTGACGAAGAAAAAAATTATTGGTTAACAGGATTTCCATTTAAATTTCATGAAGATATAATAGAGCAACCCAGTAAGGAACAATCTATTTATAAGCCTACATTTTACGAAGAAAATTTTAAAAGTAGACATACTCAATTTGAAATTGGTAATAAAACTGGAATTAAAAATATACCTGATTTTATAGATAGTACAAAGAAATCTGTTTTTGGTCTTATTAAGAAATGGTTATTTAAACATAAGTCTGTAAAAGCTCATTTATGTGTTATTTGTACTTATGAAAAAGGTGGTATTATAGATGTTGTAGAATCAGCAGTTAAATATTTGCAAACACCGAATTATGATATTTTTCCAGAGTCAAATTTAGATGAAATATATAAAGAAATGAAAGCTAAAATATTATATGAACATGAACGTGTTTCAGATAGTTTAAGAGGATCGCAATGGGTGTTAATTTCAATTAACACTCTCAATGTAGCCATAAATAAATATGCTCCCATAAAGGGTAGCTCTTATATACCAACTCCAGTAAAAATAGCTAACAGAAAAGCAGTTATAAATGTAAAAAATGAAGATGATGATAAATGTTTTTTATGGTCAATTTTGGCTCATTTATATCCAGTTGTTGAGAATCCGCAAAGAGTAACAAAATATAAGAAATATGAAAATTTGTTTAATTATATGTTTATAGATATTGAGTATCCAATGGAAGTTAGTAAGATTCCTAGTTTTTTAAACAGTGTTAATAAAACAAATTTGATTGAAGGTGGATTATCTATTAATGTTTATCATCATGTTGAGAAATATAATATAAACCCCTTATATGTAACAAAAGATGAGAAAAAAGTACATATTGATTTATTACTTTTGAAAGACGGTGATAATACACATTATTGTTTAATAAAAAATTTATGGGGGTTAGTTAAGGGTCAAATTACAAAAAATTGTAAAAAGAGATATCTTTGCAGAATGTGTTTAAATAGTTTTCAAACTGAAGAAAAATTGTTAAATCATAGGAGTTACTGTGCATTAAATAAGACATCACGGTTGAGAATGCCGAATGAATATAATAATCTTATTCAATTTAAAAATTTTAATCATAAAATGAGAGTGCCTTTTGTTATTTATGCAGATTTTGAAAGTGTTATAAAACAGATAAATGAGAGAAAGAAAAATTGTAGTACAGTTAAAATTCAGAAACATATTGCAATAAGTTTTGTTTATATTATTGTATATGCCAATGGTGATTTTGAAAGAAAAACTTTTGAATATTTTGGTGAAGATGCTCCAAAAGTATTATATAAAAAATTAAGAGAAGATGCTATATATATAGCTAAAAATTATTTAAATAATGTTAAGAAAATGAATGAGTTAACCGAGATACAGAAAAAAGAGTATGAAAATGCAACAATTTGTCATATTTGTGAAGAAAAATTAACTAGC